AAAAATTATTATTAGATGGAATACCTGAATCCTTTTAAAATTCTTACAAAATCGGCAAACAAACAAACAAACAAAAAGTTAATTAAAAGAGGATAATTTCTAAGGTTGTTTTTTTTTTAAAAAAAACTAACTTGGAAACCACAGTTTATGTAGCGTTATATATAATACTGCTTATATACCTCTTGTTTTAAAATAATCATTCTTTGTTGAAAAGTCAGTCAGCATTTAATGAGACATTTAGGTGAAAATAATAATAAATTCCAAAATTTTCAAAGTTCTACAGTTAAGGTAACATGACTTAAATGAAATCACATTACTAGTACCACTATTGATTCTTTAAACTATAAAATGAATAGATGAATTCTTGATAGGAATATTGTTTTGCCTCTTTTTTTTTAATGATCGACTCACTTGAAGGGTTCAATTTGAATGATTTATTAGAGTTATAGAGTAATGAACATATTCTTGGATAGTATGAAACAGTTTGTTGCATTATGTAAAATCACACACAACATTTACAAAGTATGGAAACAATACAATCAATACATTAATTGTATATCTTCTTTGAGTTATTGGGATAAGTACAAGTATTTGAATTATTATACGAACTAGGAATCTCCGAAATGGAGCTATTTAAACCAAACAGAACTAGATGAGTACAAATAAGAGTATTATTTTAAGAATTCAAAACCAGGCAGATATCAAGTACAAAAGAATCATTAGCTCATATAAACACCGCAGTTATCCTTTACAAACTCCATTATTCTTTTATATCTGTATTATTTTAATTGATTTCCGTTTTCTTTTATCTTTTCTTCACTTTCCTCTTTTGTCCGGAAGAACTCTACTTTGAATTTTTGATGCATACTATTTATATCTGCCTGTACAAGTAGTACACACCACGATGGTAGTCAAGGTATGGCTTACTTTAAATGTAATTATTGGCAATCAGATTCGGTTCCCTGGAAAAGGGCGGTTTTGTCCAGTTTAAAGTGTGCCAAGTAAACGTATGCATATATTGATATCCTTAGGCATAGGGTGAGTAGACAGTACCGCAGAGCTTCGAACTAGGAAGAACCGAAAATAGTACTCCTGGGTTTGTATTGATTATTTGCGTTAAACAGCAATGTTATCTCAATCTTTACTTTTTTAGAATTATTCAGACTTACTAATTGTAAATGGCTATTTCCATTGTTCGTTTGGCGGAAATAATTTACATTTTAGTGTCCACCCATTAATGTATTCCTATTACTAAACAATCGTAAATAATAAAATGTGGTATTTTTTATAGATATTTGTCTAGTTCGAAGATATTTTTACGATAAACGAACGTTACCTAGAGCACCACTGAAAATCGATAATTAGTGAACGACTGTTTCATCCCACTTTGTAACTAAGTAGTGTACATTTCCGAGGGTATTTCTTTAGTGAGGTTTAAAGATCAGAGATCGTATCCTTTGTTTAGATCTCGAAATCTCATTCGTGTTTACAAAATAATCAACAGTGTGAGTACAACATAATCTTTAACGTTATAAACACTGAGGTAGCAGATAAAAACTAATCACTACACGTATTTGTAATATTTATCCAACAATTCATTTGAGATAATTAAGGTGACAGTTGTCTGAAAAAATAAATTATCATTTTATAAGCCAATGAAAATCAATTTCTCTAAAATATACTAGTACATAAGTAAATTATACGCAAGTTCTCATATTATCATGTCAAATAAATTTGTTCCAACTGAATTTCTTGTCTTATATTTTCTGATCAGTGAAATTATAATAACATGAAATCTTGTTATACTATGACGTAACTGTATTGAAAAACGTAAACGGTGTGTGCGTGACTTCATTTACTGTACACTGGAACGGTATTAGGAATATTTATATTGTTATGACTTTATGTCCGGCTTTTCATCGCGTGATTTATCCACCAATCAAAATGCGACTTATACAATTTTAGCACTGTGCCAAACTAATGATGTTCGACCGGTATGAGCAGCCTAGCGTCTTTATTGGTCCTATGTCCACCTAGCCCGTCCACTTGAATTCAGAACACCAATAACAGTTTCCACTATGCGAATCATGTTTCAATCATACTAGGTTTATATATCAAACAAACACCGCAACGCACCATAAAATAGGAAATAACATTTGTACATAATAAAGCCAAAAAGTGGCTGTGAACGTGGGAAACAGTAGTTAATAAACAGCATAATTTAGGGACAGTACATCGTATAATAATAAATTATAAGTCAAAATGAAGCTTATAATAAGAGGAATATAAATATACATAATCTAGTTACTGAATAGTTATACAATAAGAATATATAGATAATATTAGTCTATTAATAGATCTCAGACGTTACTCGTACTTTAATCTTCACTAGGATATAACATATAGATGTCTAACAGATTTGCTTCTTTAACATTTTTCACTCAAACTTAGTAGTATAAGAAATATCTGTTGGCTTGATGTAATATGGTCATCTTATGAGAAAACATGTGATTAACAGGAGGTTTGTCACATCTATGGAAATTATTACGTTAAAAGACTGGGTATCTTTGTCATAGAATACAAATTTCTAACAAATGATTGAACAAAACTTGATTTTTTTTAGCATAGAAGACCTATATAAACATATAAACAATGCAAAACATGTGTTCTATAAGATATAGACAACAAATACGTCACTTAACGAATATCATGGGTTTAATGTGCTATATCCTAGTGAAGATTAAATTACGGGTAATTTCTGAGAACTAATAATGGACTAGTATATATATTCATATTTTACAACTGTTCAGTAACTAGATTATTTATATCTATATTCATCTTAGTGTAAGCTTCATTTTGACCTATAGATTATTATTATACGACTTACTGTTTTAAGTTATGTTCAGCTTGTTGATTACGGTCTTCCACGCTCACAGAGACTTTTGGGCTTGATCTTGTATAAATGTTATTTTCTATTTTATGGTGTGATGCGGTCTGTTTGGTTGGAGTGTAAACCAAGTATGTTTGAAATAAGTGATTCGCACAGTGGGAGCTGTTATTGGTGTTCTGGACTTTTAGTGGTCCGTCACGCTGACACCAATTAGATGCACGATGTTGTCGACGGGCTAACCACTTTAGTGGCCCGGGATCTGGCTCCAATTAAATCGTATGAATGTTCGTTATTTAGTGATCGCTGTCAATATATATATGTCGCCTATCCTCGCATATTTCATCGACTTAAATCGCGTTAGTCAATAACGGAATTAAATAAGTCAAATACGAGTATGAATTTTGAATATGTATATTTCATACAATCGTTGATCCGGACAAAATATCGGAGAAGCAAAGGGGGAGAGATCGAAGCGAAACGATGCGCGTTGAAGAAGGCCTGTAAGCCAACTCCGTTCAGTCAAGCGTTAAACAATATTTATAGTCACACAAAATTAAGCTACATACATCTGATGAATGAGATAAGAAGGACACACACATGTGTGCTCACATTAAAACAGCCAAGATTGATAAGCAAATAATTAACAAGGTTAAAAGTGTGACTCAAGTAGAATGAATAGATTGGCCTGTCCGAAAGCTAGAATAAGTTATGTGGGTTTAACATAATAATCGACACTACAGACTCAACTGGACGGACTAGACGAACAAAGGACTAATTAGGACGCTAAGCTGCTTATACCGCTCGGGACGTCATTGGCTTAGCGCAGTACTAAGATTGGATTAGTCGTATTTCGATTAGCAAATAAATCAAGTGATAATAAACCGGCCCTAAAATCACAACATAATTAGTATTTTCTTATTAGTTAGCGTCAACTTGTACTGCACGGATTGATCAATCATTATTATTTGAAAATTCCATGATCATTAAAGAAGTTAAATAATAAACATAATTACTAGGATGCTCGACCTAATTCCATTCATGGCATTTCTATATAATCTTAGGATCAAATAGATCCAGGAAAACTATAGAACTGAATCATTCGTTTTCTTAATGGCTATTTTTGATGTAGATTTCTCAAAGTTCCAGTAAAAGCCATGACCTATGAAGTCATTTATTTTCTTAAAGTAGGATAGCCAGCAACTGAATAAATAGAATAATAGTCCTTTGATAACAACAAGTGATCGGATTTGTTAAATGCAAAACATTTGATGTCAAATCAATAATCAATCCATTTTGTGTTAACAATGAGGCCCAGGCATTTTCTGTCTGATAATGTGTTTTACTATGATCGTTCACAGTTGAAGTATACGGAATTTAGATGAAAAGGTTTCCCAGTGATACTTTGTTTTCAATGGTTTTTCACATTCTATCAATCCATAATGAAATTATTTTACTTAGATTAATGATGATGATTTTAGAAGATAGTTCAGGTAATTTCGATATACTGAATAAAGTATCAAAAATGTCTGTAACTAGCGATTATTGATTTGATTAACAACATCTTGCAATTCACTAACTCTTACCTTAGGCTACATTTTTCATTATTACAGCATTTTTATTCTCTATTCATTTTCTTGTTTATTTCTCAGTTTTCTTTCTTAACTTCAGTGGAAAAAGAAATGAATTACAATCATCCCGTCTAGAACTATATGCTCAGATTTCAAAGTACGATATCCAGTCAAGTAAACAAGATAGTTACGTATATACATAGTCACTTCTAACGTAATACATAATAATAATTAATCAATCAAAAAATGTGATCTAAAAATATATATAGTAAAATAAAGTCAAAATACTGAGTGGATACATAAAGAATTGTTTATTTAGACAAATTGTGAACAAACTGAATACAGAACTGAGATGAATAAACATAAAAATAATAAAAATGAGCTAAGAATCTCTTTAGATCATTTTATAATTTACTCTTGATATTGATGAGTTCACTGAACGATATGGTTTAATCGTCTACCTTTAGTTGTCATTAGGAACAACATCGTGAGTGCTTACTTCATGTATGATGGAGCTGTACAATCGTCAACTAAATAATTATGTTTCAAATCACTTTTCTGTATCTTATTTTGTTGATCATTTTCAATAAAATTTCTACTCTTCCTCATACTGGACAAGAAAACTACTTTTCATATCTCTCTTCTACGTGTTATTTTCACTCGTACTTCACTTTTAATTTTTGACTAACTTATATTATCTTTGTTACTAATACAGTAACCTTTATTTTCGACTATATTATCTGCGAAGTAACTATAGATACGGTTATACTAATCCAGTAAATGACATCATCAAAATTAACATTCCCCTTGTTTCACTGTCTTGATTTTGTTCAACAACGTAATGGTTCTTTTCCGTTGTTTTAAAACATATGAATTCCTTGGAAAATACAGTTTTAATGGAGTTAAGTACCTATGACCGATGATGATGACTCTTTTATGATAATAGAAACCTTTGCTATCGTAGTTGAATTGTTAAAATTACTGAAGTGACTGACATATGATAATTTCCTCACGCAAATAATTTCTAATCACAAGCCTGTTATGGATTCTGAGGTATAATGTACCAATCATTATCATGTTAAGTCTAATGATGTCCTTGGACGTTAAATGGACATTTCCTATTGGCCGTTATTTATTTCACTCGTTAAATATTGTGTAAATGTTGTTCTCTATTTTATGGTACGATGTGGTTTGTTTGTTTGGTATATAAATAGAGTATGGCTGAAATATAATGATTCATTACTCAGAGGCTGTGACTTGCATTCTAGACTCAACTGGCTGGGCTAGACAGGGGAGTGGGACCAATCAGAACCCTAGGCCGTTCATTACGTGTTTTCCGTTTCACTGAATCGATCAATAAAACGCTGCTCCATCTAACCTGCAATCCACCCGTTACAACAAAGCCAATAAATTTCAGAAAACGTAGTAACTTAGTAAATTCGAAAGTAATTAAAACTTATTTTTTACACAAAATATTCAGTCAACATAATCATGACACATCAGTTAACAAATGATCATCAAATGATAAGAGAATGAATATTAAGTAATAATCAACATGAATTTACTTTTTCCCAACTAAGTACTGAATATTATCTTTCTACTATGGGAAAGAGTTATATCTGGATTTGAAATGCCATAAAACAACAGATTACACAAAATTAGTATTAAAATGAGCTTAATTGTCAACTACATAAGATTTTCTACAGTTACTTTTGCTAACGTACTATTTTCGTTCTTTCTTTTTTGTTGTTGAAAATCTCCAGGTGATAACGAATTTGTGCAAATCACAACAAAATCATGTTTGAAAAAAATGGCTAAATATTTTAGTGATAATGGTCAAATCTGTCGAATTTATACTATTCCTCATTTGTACTCCGATGCAAAACCTCTTAATTCATTTTTCAGTTTTTGTAGAGCTGATGAATTACCAAATATTTTAATACAACCACTTACTATTGAACATGAAAGATTGAATGAAACATGGTTACAAACTCGATGTAAATTATGTGAAAAATTCAAATGGTCAGGTGAACGATATACTTGTTTATTTTGTCCAAATATAGTCTTATGCAGAGAATGCTTTTATACAGGTTATCATAAAGAACATCCTCTTTTATGTACTCGTAATAATAAATTATTTTCACAGAAATTATTACAATGTTCACGTTTAGCTGTAGCATCAGTACCATGGAAGAATACATTACCAAAAGTTAACAGAGATCCGGAAACTGATGATAGAATAAGACAATCAATTAGTATGATACAAAATAAAGAGAATAATTATTTCAATCAAAAAGATGAAGTTTCAAAGAGTGAAAAACAAAACAAACGAATAACATTGTTTAAGAAATCAGCTTAAATGGATTGTTATTGAAATAAATTTTCGTTATTCTGTTCACAATAATCATAGTTTGGTTGAGTCAAGAATTGTAACATATTGTTCAACTAAAATAAAACATGCTATTAAATAAGATATTTCTCTATTTACTGAGCGAATTTTCATTCTTGTTATTTATGAATAATGACTTTAAGAAATATTAGTTATCTCCGACTGTGAACCTAGGTGACAAGGGATCGAATCCGTCAGCGACCATCAGTTCCCTCGAGATTGCAGTTACACCTTGCTGACAACTGCCAAGTGGCACGAAACCTTGGTCCAGGGTTTCCTGTTCACTACCATCTTATTTCAACATAATGCACGCAATGTCGAGTCACCTATACTAGTGACCACATTGCAACATGGTTGATAGTATTCGATCTGCACTAAGAAATACCTGATATACATGGCATCGATCACCACCCAGTGATCAATCAATTGCAAATTACAATTTCATAATGTGTAGGGAGATCTGATACTTAAATTTCACGGGAAAATGATAAAATTTAGGGAATTTTTCTGTTGTAGTGGCTGCGCTTCGTTAATCACTCACCTTTCTAACTGTTATTATATACATTTCAACGGTGTTTGAAATCAGAAGGTAATAAGAAGCGGTACTAACAGTCTATTGGCGGATAGTACGAATCACAAAGCTATAGGGGCATTGATCGAATTTGTAGCAGAAAAGCAAATATTCTTATTTGCTATTCATTTATTTAGTGAATGTTGAAATATATATTTAATTATTAACACTAGAGTGAAACTATTAGCCTTCACTCACAAACGTTCTTGAATAGTTTTGAACTTATTAAGTTTTTTTAATGAATGAGTTTCATGGCATCTAGACTTTTTTAAAGATACGTATAAGGAAAATATACTAACATCCATCATCGTTCGGCCCAAAGGTTTTTAGTAATTATAATTATAATCATTCAATTTAAAAGATGACAAATATGTGACGATTTATTGCATTATTTACATGACTAAAAAAGCGGGCTCAGAAGTTTAAGTAAGTTACCTTTATGAATATACAGAAGACTAAGTAGTAGTAACTGATTCCAAGGTATTGTTATATTAAAATTAAAGTTGAAGAAGATTAACGTTAGCGGCAAAATTTGTATAATAGGTACGCACCAATGAATACAAATGTTATGGTTAACCGATACCTAATTGATTTGAGTTAGATTAACATTCAAAATTGATTTTTTCCAATCTTCTATGGAATTTCATTAAATTTTAAGTATTCATATTAGTAATATCTACTGGTCATAGATAATTAACGATATAATAGTGTATATCTACATTTATTCGCCAAATTAATAATTAATTCATGTCAATTACAAGTCAGTTTATTGAGCACAGATCATTATAAGTCACAAAATTCAGCAATTTGGAATGGAGAGTAGATGCATCGCTTTAGAACAGAAATAAAAAAATCCTATATAAAAGCAGCAAGGAAACTGTCTAAAGAAAAAATGATTTCATTCAGATATGAAGTATTTAGATTCAGATTCAGATTTGTGTAGTAATGATAGAAGGCCTACGGCCTATGTTATTCCTTTTCTAGTATGCTTCTGTGAGTGTCAAGTCTTCTCTTGAAAGAGTCAATTGAAGGTGCGGACACCACTGCTTCAGGCAGCAGGTTCCAAGTATTGATGACTCGGTATGAAAACCTGTATGCCACGGGTATTTTGTTCGTTCTTGGCTTTTCTACTCGCCTGCTATGTCCTCTGAGATGTCCCGATCTAGTGGGAAGAAAGAGAGAGAATAAGTTAGGTCCGAAATCATTTCTCAGTATTCTGTACATCAATATTAGATCTCTCCTTAGTGTGCGATAGAACAGAGTAAAGAGGTTCAGTTTTTCAAGCCGCTCTTTATATGATAAACCCCGGAGTCCCGGGATTGCACGCGTAGCTGCCCTCTGTACCTTTTCTAGTATGTCTGAGTCACCTTTTAAACAGGGGCTTGCAGCCTGAACACAGTTCTCTAACTTAGTTTTCACTAAGGATGTGTATAATGTGGTGAACATGGTAGTATCAAGCTTAGTGAATGTCCTTTTTAAAGCCCAGAGGGTTTGAAACCCCTTAACTGCGACCTCACGACAACGGGCTATCGTCTTATGATCATTACTCACTATCACCCCTAGATACTTGTGAGACCGGACTACGGGTAATGACACATCACCAATGTTGTACGCATTAACCTTTGAATCCCCCAAGTGCATGTAGACACACTTTTCCGAGTTGATAGGCATTAGCCACTCTTTAGACCAGTTTATCATATTATTTAAGTCCGCCTGAAGAGTAGATGCGTCTTTGTTTCCAGTTATTACTCGCCAAATTTTTACATCGTCAGCGTATAATAACATTGGAGACTGTACTATACTTGTAAGATCATTAACGTACATTATAAAAAGTAAAGGACCTAGGACGGAACCTTAGGGTACTCCACTGAGTACTGGTCTCCAGATGGAGCACTTGGAATTTATTCTTACTTTTTGCCTACGACCTACTAGGAAATCCTTAATCCATTTTAAAAGAGGTCCGACAACACCAAGGTTTGCCAACTTCAATAGCAGTCTATTAGTTGGCACCTTGTCAAAAGCCTTACTGAAGTCTATGTAGACAACATCCACTGAGTTTCCGTTGTCTAGAGCAATTATCCAGAGCTCCCTAGCTATAAGGAGGTTTGTTGTACGGGATAAACCCTTTCTAAAACCATGTTGTGTCATGTTCAGCAAGTTATTGGTTTCCATAAATGCTGTTATGGTCCGTTTGATTATTCTTTCCAGTATTTTAATTACAGCACTGGTGAGGCTTACGGGTCTGTAATTTGATGGAACTTGTCTTAGACCTGTTTTATGTATGGGAGTGACGATTGAGTCCTTCCAGTTCATAGGTAACACACCTTGGTCAAGTGACATTTTAAATATCACAGTCAGTGGGGCTGCAATATATTCGGCAATATCTCTTGAGATTTTAGGGTGTAGTTCATCTGGTCCTGTTGACTTCTCCATGTTTAGGGTGCTAAGAGCCTTAAGCACATCGTTTTGGTCGAAGTCCACGGTGAGCAGCTGGTTTGTTGACTCTGTAATTGGGTCTGATCCTTTCTCTAGAGGAGGTTCCTGAGTGAAAACTGCCCCAAATTAGTCAGCCATAACCTCAACTTTCTCTGATCTTCCTCTATCATTTCAGATTCACTTCCTACTTTAATTAGGTTGGGAATCCAATGATGAATCCTTGTTCTGTAGTTTATGTACGAGAATATCCTCTTAGGCTGCTTGAGTGCAGATTCTGCCAGCTGCATTTCATATTTTCTTTGCGCTTCCCGAATTTTAGTTATACACTCGTTTCTTATCGATCTGTAGTGTTCCATCGTACCTGCTGTGCCAAGGCGGATGGCAACATCCCAGCATTTCTTCTTTTGTCTTAGTAAGCGTCGAATATCCCGCCCTATCCAGGGATGTCCGTGCTTCTTTTTCTTTGGGACAGTCCAGTGTATGTATGATTGAGTTACCCGATTGTATAACTGCCTGAATAGAGTCCATGCCTCTTGTACTGATGCCTTTGAGTCAATTTCCCAGTTCTCAGCCGATGCTGTGGAGTTAATTGCCTGCATATCTGCCTTCCATATGTTAGGACGGGCCGGCGCAATTGTTTAACAAGCAATTTCAGCCATGAATTTGAATAAGATGACTGCATGGTCACTTCTCTCAAATGGTGGGAGAAAAGCCGTTTGTTATTCTTATGACAGGTAGTTGATATTGTTTCTTTTAGTGATATGTGTACTTTGTGTATTGGTCACCATTTTAAGACTGATTGCAGCTATCATTACCTTACTGTATACATGTTCTGAATCCAAACTATGTATCTGATATTGTTGGGTATTTATTAACCGTTTAATCTTCGTTTTGTTCAAAACTGTTTCTATGGTGCTCATTGTATTGGATTGTCATACTCTTATTGAGACTTTATAAACTGATTGCTCTGTTTTATGTGGTTGATTTTTAAGCACGTCTTCTGTTTGTTTTAAGGAGGTTTGCCATTATTCACTGTTGGATGTTCATCTTTGGAGAAAATTCAATTGACTTAACCTTCTTCTTCGAATAGGATGCTGTTCTTTAACTGATAAAAATATTTTCTTCATGACCACGACTAGCTCCTGAGAAGCTGGGTTTGGCTAAAAATGAATTTGACCACATGATAGACTTGGAAGTAATTCGACCATCAAACAGCCCATGGGCATCCGTCTTGTACATAGTCCCTAAAAAGGACAACAACGGTTGTGGTCCAGCTGGTGACTATCGGCGATTGAATGAGGAAACCATTCCTTATCGTTACTCCTTTCGTCAAATCCACTATTTGACAGATACACTGAAATGTACAACTGTTTTTTTCGGAAATCGACTTGGTTAAAGCGTATAACCAAATTCTTATGGCTGATGACGACGTTCCAAAAACGACTATCACCACGCTCTTCGAACTTTGCGAATTTCTCTGCAGTTCATTAGGTTTAAGAAGTGCTGCACAAACTTTCCAGAGATTCATCGACGACTAATTTTAAGGTCTCAACTTCATATATGCGTATGTTAATAACTACTTAATTGCAAGTCCGGACAGAGAATCTCATTCCCAGCATCTGGACTTTGTTTTTGAACAACTTCAAAACATGGAGTTAATGTAAACATTCCGAAACGCCAAACAGGAAACAATTTTATAGATTTGATCACTCTTGCATAACGAACCCGCTGACCGCTGTGGACGGACGAGCACCCACCCTTGCTGGCTAGACAAGGTTTGATGTGACGCACCTGATAGGTTCAGCCACATACGTCTCATCAATTAGCTCAAACTATTAGGTATTAAGTCACAATTAATAGACTCGTTTACTTCATATTTCTAAAGTCTAGGTAGACTTTGTTTTTTCTCAGGCTACGAAGTGTCTTATTGATGTTTTCGTGTCGATGGGTACAATTCGTTCTATTTATCGAAGAAATCAGACTGGTAGTTGATAGGTATTTATTTAGATCGTGGAACAGACTAGTTTGAGCGCTATGTTGTCTTTTTCAAACACACAAAGTTTTCACCAATGAACATAAAAAATGGGGAATATTATGCCTATACAGAATAAGAGAGTGAATAAATACTTGAGTTATAATGTTTTGACGTTCAGATGTTTAGGGTCAACTATAAACTAGGTCAAAGTTCTTTCAGGGTCTTCCGGGGCTCGTCACTGGAACCTATTCTCACCCGTTAAACATAAGAGTCAAGTTTGCAATCAAGATGACAACCTGGTACATCAAGAGGATCTGAATGGACTTCAGAGTTTGGGAGATAGCGAACTGGTTTTCGCTGCTTCAGAGTGCGAATTAATCTATATGAAACATACAGCAGAATACGCGTACAACTTATTTAACCCTCCTTTAGAGGTGTCGCGAGTTGAAAAAGACATAGGCGTGCTGGTAGCTTGTGGTCTAGTCTTACTCTGAAAAAAATCTTTAGAGCAGACCTTGCACAAGTAATGTTGGAACACATTTGTGGCCAGTTTGGCAGTAAAACTTTCCACTTAATCTTCGACAGTTTTATACGGCTCTATTTACGGTATGGGAACATAGTATTCCCTCCATCGATTCAAAACGACAGGAATACATTGAAGTGTGTTCAGATGTGAACAATCAAATCAGTTTGAGGACTTAAACTCAAACGTTACCAAAAAACGCACCAAAAATCACTGGATCCTCACTCATTAGATGATAGGCTTCACAGATGTGACAAAAAAGCTTGTGGCATCCTAAAAATTCGTGAGTACTCTAGTAAATAATTACGTGGGTTCAGTTCCAACACAAAATTTGGTAGTTACATCCGTAAATTAGGGACTCAACATAGCAGAAGTCGTAGACACACCCTAGAGATCCCACAGATATTCGGATTTTGACAACACCTTTAAACTCAACGCCTTGATAATCGAAATATAACGGCCCAGTTAGATCAAAAGTCAGAAGTGGTAGAGTTCGGAGACATGTTTAGCAAGTCATCGACATGTTGAATAGCGTTTGATCTAGACTGGCTAGTGGTTGTAAGGGATGCGTAGGAGCGGATGCGCAGTAGAACTAAGAAAGCCAGCATCAATGCCAAATACCTTCCGAAACATTTGTTTTGTGGTCTACTTATCGCTATCTTTACCAGTAGTCGAATTCTAGAGTTGGCTGACGAAGTTTGTCCAAGTGACTTCTCATGAGTCCTTCAAAAGGACAGTTTATATATTCTTCAGTACTCAGAATGGTTTTTCGTTATAATTTACGAATATTTCTGTTTCGTTCGTTAAATATACCTACTTGCTTACCTAGAGGCATCGAAGGCTTTTGTACCATATTAGCCGCATAAATTAAGTGGGTGCGGTACTTTCCATAAGTAAGGATGTAGTTGGTCGCTATTGTAGTCAAGGCGAGGTAGTAGATACATGTTGTATTCAGTTTCTATTATTATTGTGTATTTTTTCAATGAAGTACAGCTACAAATGACTACTAGTAATTATGCCGCGTATGTATATAGTAATCTTCACGAGGATATCTCAACGAACGTCTTTTCAGTATTGATTTTATTATCAGTTGTTACTTCACTTATGTCGATATCAGCATTTTCACCATTTACTAAGGCTTGTGTATTCCACTTGATAAGTAAAGGCTATGTCTTTTGCTTAAGAACGAGTTAACAAGTAATCAGCTTCTGTGCCGTTATGGATACCGTCGTATGATAGTTTCTCTGAATTTGTGATTTTTTTGCCCGACCGCGGCCATATGATATGTCTGCGAGATCGCCTTGTTTTGTAAATACTCTTATCACATCACCGAAATTATTATTTCGGTGAAGCGAAGCGTATGATCAACGGTGAGCGTTCTCGTTAGAACTGTGCTCTTTGACCTAGAGATTGTGTTACCAAACCTTGTTAGTTGACGACTGTACTTGAGCTTTGCCTAGACACAATTATTTGTCATATCTTGTTCTGGGTATTCATATGACCCGTATCATTGTAATTTACCTGGTCCATGGCTTGCTATCAAAGTAGTTTCCTTGAAATACTCTAATTAACGATGCACAAGTGTTCGATCTTTCCAAATGTTAACTTGTTGAAAACTAATTTACTTGCCTATTTTATAAAAGGAAGAATCGAATTAGTCGATCCCGGACTACTCCGCCATGGATGTTTTGTCATCGCAACATTCGATCGAAAATCAAGTGATCAGATTTGGACAAACTCATTCCCCAAAGGAATTGCTTCTGCGCCTATCTGTATCGTAACGTGCAAATTTTTCAATCGAATTCATTGGAATCTGTAATATCCGAAAGATGTCATTGCGCATAAATGACTAATTGGAATAAATCACTAAGGAATGATTGACTTTATAGCGTTGATTTTATAGTCTAGAAAATCATAGCACTTGTGTTGGCAATGTATATCAGAGTAGTTTCGACTTCAGAACCAAACGTCTATAGTCATTTCAACTAAAGAGTCAGAGTAGCTAATTTCAATTATCCATAGGTAAGTACTTCAGTTCCTTTATACCGTGATAAGACTTCCCTCGGGCCTGGAATTCGCTTGTTTTAGTCTTATACGTCCATAAGGATATTCTGGCTTTGGAGCTAACATAGCATACCCGATTAAGTACGATAAATTAATTGAGTCGACTTGAAGTTTTCTATCGTAGTTTAAAAAGCTTAAAGTTATTATTCCCGTAACGTGTTAATGCCAGTTTAGGATCACAGATAACTCTGTCTCATTTAGCCTGCTAGTGTAACTGTCGTTTGTTTGGTCTTCAATTTAAGCCTTTCCAGACTTGAAAATCAGTTTTGTCATCTCCTTTATTCTATTAATTGCAGTTTACACGTGTTCCTTGTAAATGACGACGTGTTTTTGTCTCCCACTTATTCTGTTTCTACATGGATCAAACTTATATAACCGTGGAAAGCAGTCGTAACTATTTCTTACCAGTAAACTGAATTTCTGTGCACAAGTTTAGAGAATTCACACCATTGACGAAGTTTTTTACTCACTTTCTCATTCATTTGGTTAATTCCCTTTCGACATACTAATATTAAGTATGGTAACTGCCATTTCTTGAATTATTGATTACTGTTATTTTTTATGTATTTCTCGTACTATTATAAATAGTTCAAAGTTACACTTATGTTTGCTTTATCATATAGCTCGTCGATTAGACATGAAAATTAATTGGAAGTGCCCTGACTGGAAGACTTATACTCTTGATCCCCCTCCTTTGAAAGAGCACGTTGAGAAATTGGCCAAGCTAGGCTTGACAGATCCATGGGCTCGGTAGGTGTTATAACTTGATGGTTTTTGCAAAGGCTACTATATATTGGCTAATTCTTGCCATAGTTGGTCAAAATTAATCACTTTTCTCTATGACACTGTGTTTGGATGATACTTAAAATACCAGAGCTAATGTATTGTGATGAGTGTACTGCATACTGTTATACTGTTGTACACTACTAGTTTTCTAATACTATAGGTAACTGTATTGTTTCTATTTTGCTTTTCTTCCTGTTGATTCCTGTTTCTAACAAAAGGCGTTAATTTATAATGGTATACATTCGTAGTGGGTCCCACGTTCTTCATTTGCATTTGTGTTACACCTGGTCATTAATATTTCCTTCCCATTTGCTGTTACATTAATGAGTCGGACTTAAAACTTTTATCCGTTATTACTTTAATTATTTGTTGATTCCATGAATTTGGTACATAGAAATATAATCAATCGATCTGAACGCCTCAAACTCTCTGGAAAATAAATATTTCTCCTCCATCTCATATATCTCAATTGCGGTGTACACGTGGTTGAGTGAATGCTCTCATATAATTGTTAGAACTTTATTTAGTGCCTTGTTTGAAGTAGTTAATGAAATGTATCAATGCACTGTTGTTTTCTTCATCTCTTGAGTTTTCATGATCTATGAAATTTTGGAACTAACTACGATATTTAAATCATACACATCATCCCAACCATTACTTTAGATCATACTCCAGTCTAGCTTGCTACACTAAAACAACACAGAAAAAGGAATATATATGCAACCGAACAAAAAATGAACACAAGTTAAAATAAGTAGATTTCCACCAGTTGACTTAATTTTTTTCTGGAAAATCGAAATTAGATGCATCTTTGAAACTACGACTTTCATTTTTTATATTTCGAACAGTTTGTATTGAAAAGGTAGATGACCGACAACTACATACAATTTTCCAGTTTCTGTTACCAGGATAACGTTTTGGATGTAATTAGTATTTTTTTGACCGGTGCCTAAACCCCACGATAATGAACAGTGATTATGAAATATAATTCTCCATTTAATCTCTCAGCTAAGAACTTCGTCTAGTTTCACTTGTACAACAGTGGTATTTAAAAACCAACTACGAAGTGGTCTGGAAGAATTTATTCAAGGTATCCATGGGTAACTAGAAAGACGGTAAAATTTAATAGATTAATGTAGTATAACTGCTGACTATTGTTAATCAAAAGATAGTTAAGTGTTAGCCATCTTTATATCAGACAAAAAAAATACCAAATACATGCGAATCGATAGGTGATCGCTCAGCTTGTAAATAAAGATAGGCATGTCTACGCGCGGATGTGTAAAAGCATCCAAAGTTACAAGTGAATATTTCGAAAAGACAAATATATAAGTGTATAGAATAAATTCGCCTAGTCGTTACAAAGAGTCTATGTGGTGGGCCACTAAAAGTACCCTTGATTCTATTTGCTGGAATCAGGAGATCCAAAGTATCGTTTTGGAGTTTACTGTCTATTCCGCACTGAAAAGCAGGTTCGGAATAATGTTTTGTTAAACAAATGGCTTATACTTTCTAATTCTGTTATGCCCTTCGCGACTTCACATAATACCTGAAATCATGAAGAACAACTTGGAAAGTTTCTGAACAACTCTTTCGTTTTCCAATATTTCACATAGTAGTCCATAGTCCAAATTCGACCAGTTTTTTTGATAATTGTAGTGTTGTGGGTATTTTTTGTCAACAAAAATAATACATTGCCCCAAAGATTTATCGCTTAAAATGTCTTTTCTTTAAAATTTCTGTTTTTCAGCAATTATGCTTGGCAATATTTACCAAAAATTTACAAACCTCGTTCTCAACGGTTTAGAGAAATACTTCTTGCAAGACTACCTCATGGTGTAGCTCTAGGAATTGTAGCCTCGATCCTAATAAATCAATTTGACAGATGGCGTAAAGGCGAATTCAGTGCAGCAAAACATTAACAAGTCGTCTTGTTGTGTTTCCCATTCACTGGATTTTTAATTTTCGTTCAAATTAGTGTTAGAACCTTAAGTGTTATGTTCATTGTAAAAGAAAAAAAATAATGACAGAATTCGGAATCTAAAAATATGTAAACGTGACTTACTTGTTCAGTGCTTTGCGTAAATGGGGTGCATTTGGAAATTAAATAAATACATGTCCGAGTATCACCAGGTTTATTTACTCTCAGTTTCTTTGATTAATTTTAGTTTGAATTGTTTATGATGAAATAATGTGTCGCGTCCAAATGTTAAGTGAAATTATAAAATCACAATTATTTAAAAGGAATCTTTAGTTAGTTGAATCCTTTTAATCATGGAATATGGGTCGAGTTCACTTTTTCGTAAAGCGTTTTTTATATTTTATCATTAGGTTGTTTCATCTAATGGAGATGATTGATTTCCAGTTACTTTTGCGGAGTTTTCAGTTCAGATGCACTACTGCTGAGGTAGCAATAGTATAATACTGTCTACGTTAATGCTATTCTGAAGACTACATATTCACGGAAGCGATTTGTTTTTTATTAGAATTTATCATCAGCAGTAAACTGGATTGATGAAAAACTTAGACTTAAAGAATATGAAGGCCTATATTTGGCGATAATTGGTTCGTTTGAATCCTGGCATCTTTTCTAAGGTAATTTGTACAGCTCAATTACTATAGAGGACACATCTAACATTCCTGGATTATTCTATAGCCTATACTTTCGCATGAACACAGAATGAGCGAATTCGGCAGTTATGACAATCACCAGTTTTGGTTGATGGATGTAACAAATATTGAAATGCCACGTGGTTTTAAGCTATGCGAGATTTTTTAATGAAGACAAAGATGACAATTGTTTACCTCACTAGGTATTGATCCTCAATGGCAAATGTTTTCGTCTTAAATCTACTTAACTTCATTGTAGAAGTGAGCATTACATTATTTGGAGCTATCGGTATTTGGTTCCTAAAATTATGTTAAATATAATTGATATGCATTCCTATAAAACTCGACACTACACCTGTTGCGAAGCAGGATTTTATCTGTTTTGTGTTTTAATTAAATTCCATATAGGGAAATACTTGAATTTCTGTTTTAACTACTGTTAAGATGTTAGTAGTGTGAACAAATTTATTAGTTTGTAAAGAAATTGAGTCTAGGAATTATGTGCTTTTACTCTATATAACACGTACTTTAAAGTGTTAAACATCTTTGTAACTGGAAGAAGAACGGTTTATATTATTAGAAAATAACGAATTGAAAATTTTAATTATTTACGTGTTTATTTGAAAAAAATTGTTGTCGAATTTAATTTGATTTGAAATATAGAGATGTCGACTGTTTAATGTTCATATTAAATTGAACTCCAAATTTTGACTAGATAATCATCAAATGATAATTGACAAACGAATAGATAAATATGTGTTATAGGAGGTAATCTATCACTAAGAAAGTGAATATTTTTTTATGATTACAAGCTCAGTACTTGATTAAAACGATTAATCTAAGATAGAAATATATACTGACGAAAATGATCAAGACGGAATCACTTCTACTTAATAAGTTTAATATTAATGTACTCATGAGTTTCTTTTCTCAGCTTTAAAATCTAATGTATCCTTGTTTGCTCTAACTCTCAGTGTTTCTTAAATAGGAATAAACAATCGGTAAATTAGTACCATTATAATGATTAACTGATTGTTAGTTTGAAATATGGTGAGACATTCTTAGTTTAAGAAATCGGTAGTATTCAAAAACTGTTCTTTTTTGTGATTTCAATGAACTATGATAAGGAAGCTATGGATCAGTGATCTTATTGTCAAATAAACTTACGCGACAAAATCATTGTCCAACAATTGATTGCCTATGAACTTTTTGTTACAGAAGACGAATTATATCTTTGATGAATTTTACACAATCCTCTCCAGTATACACAGCTCTGGTTAATTTGACAGGAGAAGAGAAAGAGGCTCTAAAAATATCATGATTTCGAACGCGGAATATTTTTCAAACAAATTAAACACTGTAGATTGTTTGTATTTGCAACGTGTTATCTGAAGAAGCGACTTACCCTTGGTCAACGAACACCAGAAATCCAATCTTATTATGATGTTACAAGTGCATTATTATTGGTCATCATTGTCTTGTAATTATGACTTAGTTTTCACGTAATACTGCATCTCCTCACGATGCTCCACTGCCTTGTGGGTCAGACCTTTAGGTCAAAGGCTCCGAGTGTGGCCCCCTAAGAAAACCACCTGCTTTGATCTGGGCACCCGGGCAGTATCACAGCCCACACACAAACAGAATGAAATGACGATACTTATGGAAAATACTATACTTGCTTCGATTAACAGTCAAACAATTCACATTATTATTTACTACGTCATTTATTCACTCTTTTTTATTCCCACTTTATGTATCCTTATTTTTCGACTTATACAGAAGCTCGCCTATGGTGGAAACTCGGTTTAATCTAAATGTTCTCGAGTCACTGCCTGGTTGAAAATTGAATGCTACCACCAAATACGAATACTGAAGCAGTTTTTCTGAAACCACGTGCACCATTCAAACTTGCTGTCTTCAACGTTCGCATACTTATGCAGGTCGGACAACAGATAGGGCTGGCTATGTCTTTGGAAAGTCTTAATATCGATGTCTGCTGCCTATCCGAGACCCGTATTCAAGACTCTGGTGAAGTACTACAAATTCGCTCTCCATCTATTGCTTCAAAGAGCTTGTTTTACGTACGTTTATCCGGGAACTCTGTGGCATCTTCGTCTGATCTTGCTGGCGTTAGTGTCACACGAAGTGCTAGAGCTGAGGCAGCACTAATCGATTTGATCCCCATTAACAGTCGGTTATATGCTGTTAGATTAGAAAGTTCCATCAGAGTGAAAAGAAATCGGAGTGAGAAACGATGTCTTTTCGTCATCTCAGCCTATGCCCCGACAGGTTGCAGCCCAGATGCAATCAAGGATGAGTTTTACCACCAGTTGTCTGTTCTTCTCCAGAAAATGCGTTCGACAGATATTGTAGTACTAGCCGGAGACTTGAATGCTCAGGTCGGGCGTCTAGGTACAGAAGAGAGTCGTTTAGATGGCCGATGAGGACTTGTTAGTCGCAGGACAGATAACGGGGACCGTCTACTACAACTGTGCACAGACCACAACCTGTTTCTGGCTAGCAGTAACTTCAGGCACAGTCATCGCCGATGTGCCACCTGGCGTCCTCCCTCTGCATCCCAAGCCTGGACTCAGATTGATCACATCGCGATCAGCTACCGCTGGCGTGGTTGTGTGTATGACTGCCGCTCCTTTTGGAGTACCTATCTGGACTCTGACCATGCCCTGGTCTGCGCCAATTTTACCTTACTTTTCAGTGGCCAACGAAGTGACCGCCATCAACGGATTGATATTAGCAAGTTGGTTGCAACTTCTGTTGCAAGTAAGTATCGAATCGAGCTAGCTTCTAGGCTAGCTACCATTCCACCGAAAAGTATAGATGAGCATTGGTTGCAACTGCATGACGCCATGAAAATGACGAGTAAATTCACTTACAACTCATCGAAGCCCGTCGGTCTACTCCGGGTGACCGTGAGTTTGGCCACAAGCAAAGGCTGTTACGTAATGCAATTGGGCAAAACTTGCGTGAGGACCGAGAAGCTTGGTGGTCGGAGCGTGCTAATGAGCTGGTAGTAGCAGCTGCATCTGGTAACTCCCGGAAGCTCTTCCAACTCATGCGGGCCACTGGCAGCAAGAGGTCTGGTGTGAGCAAGACAATCTGCGAGGACGACGGGATGCCAATCACCAACATCCATCGACGTCTTGGACGATGGGCAGAATTCTTCGAAGGTCAGTTCAGCTGGCCTGCTGCTCCGGCAACATCGGTCAGACTGTCCTGCCCTCCATGACCGTTGAAGACTGATCCACCAAATGAGGTGGAAGTCCGCAAGGAACTCCGACTCTTGAAATGAATCGATAGTTGTCCCTATCTTTAAAAAGGGTTCTACGTCGTTCCTGTAACAAATATCGGGAGATAAGTCTACTTCCGATTGCGTCGAAGCTATTGACTTCTGTCAAAAATTTGAAGGTTGTTCGAACCCCGAGAAAGATTGACTCGCGAGGATCAGGCTGGTTTTCGTTCTGGTCGAGGATGTATTGATCATATCTTCACCCTTCGCCAAATGTTAGAACACCGCCATACTTATCACAGGCCAACAATCGTAGTGTTTCTTGACATCAGGGCTGCCTTCGATTCGTTGAACAGGACTGTTCTCTGGGACTGTCTATTGAAGAAGAGTGTGCCTGAGAAGTTTATTAACATCCTAAAAGCCCTATATACAAACACCTCAGGCAGAGTGAGGGCATACAACCACCTCTCTCCATTGTTCCATTCGAGCAGTGGGGTTAGGCAGGGTTGCCCAATCTCAGCATTCCTCTTCAACTTTGCCATCGATGACATTCTGGAAACAGCTCTGATGGATGTAAGTAATGGTGGTGTGGATCTATTGCTTGGAGAAAAACTTTTCGACCTTTAGTATGCGGATGATATTGTCTTACTGTGCGATAATGCCCAAGGCATGCAATCCGCACTTAATCAGTTGGCAATCAGTGTCCGTATGTATAGTATGTGTATGAAGCAATTTCCTACAGGTGTAACTAAGCTATTATCTAGACCATCGAACACAGAGTCTTGGTTTAGCCAAAGTCAGAACAAGTAAGCTATTTGGCTTGATAAACTTTATCTGTTTCTAAAACATAAATTAACACCATTAGTATACAAAATAAACAATACAGTCTATCAACAAAGGGAAAAACAGAGACATAAATAACATACCGAACAGTAGCTAGAGGATAGGGAAAATGAGTCAACAAGGCAACTATTATTTTATAATGAACATAAAATTGTGATTGTTGAATAAACAAGACTTAGTCATACAAGGTCAAAGAAAGTTAATGTGGTGGTGGGCGTCTCACTTTATCATTGGTGAGTTCGTTTATTGATCACACCTTACAGTATGTGCTTCGCACCTTCGAATTGCGAAGTACTTCTCCAAGACTGGCAGGATCCTAATCATGTACTCACCCTGGATGGTGAGCAGATAGAAGAAGTCGAGAAGTTCGTGTATCTAGGTAGCTGGTAGTGGCGCGAGTGATGAGATCAATGCACGTATAGTGAAAGCCAAAGCGGCTTATGCCAACCTAGGCCATCTATGGCGCCTTCGTAATGTTAGTCTGGCTGTAAAAGGTCGGATCTACAACGCGTCGGTGAGAGCAGTTTTGCTCTATGCTTGTGAAAACTGGCCTCTCTGAGTTGAGGATGTTAGACGGCTCTTTGTGTTCGATCATCGCTGTCTCCGAAGGATTGCTGACATCCAGTGGCAAAACCATGTCAGTAATGCGGAGGTTCGGCATCGTGTTTTTGGGCGCAGAGACGATAATTCAATTGGTGTCACGATCTTTAAACATCGACTGCGATGGCTTGGACATGTTCTACGAATGTCGTCCCAGAGGATTCCACGTCGTCCATTATTTACCGACTCTGGGACTGGTTGTAAGAAGCGGAGAGGTGGTCAGTGTATGACATGATGTCGTGGTATGAAAGAAAGTTGCAAAGGGCCGGCTTCTGTTGGTCCTTCACGACTCCCTGGCGGGGTCCGAGGGATGGTGCAACACAGTGGCTAGAGACGTTATCAGATATGCCTCAGAATAGAAGGCAGTGGCGATCCTGCCGTAACCTTCTTTTACTTTCTGTATAAAAAGTGGTTGTATCTCCCTTGACTGAAAGAATTCTTCTTGTTGTACCTGTCCGTTTCCCCCATTATTATTATCACTATTATTATTATTATTATTATTATTATTATTATTACACTACCTAACGCTAATGTATGGTCGTGTTTGTTCTTTTTTCTTATATACTCCTTACCTTTTTCTCTTCCCATTCTCATTGTTTTGTGTGGCGCATATATATTTGGTGCCCCCTTGTACCAATATTTATGTGTTCGAATAAATAAATAAATTCAGGTAATACATTTAAGAGACTTTTAAATAATTCCTAATGAAGTTTAATTCAGATTGTGCGTGTCCTTCATTAATCAGGAATGGTTTATTTTTCATGTACTTTATGATT